GTCAGTTTTCCTTCATTTGCCAGGGGCTCGATTCTCGAGTTCATTGGAAAATTTTCCCATGGGAAAAGATTCCACTACTTATATTCCCATAGTAATAGGTTATGCAATTCTCGAACTTGTCGGAATAGACATTCCCATGGAAATAATAGTTTCACGTATGTCTGATATTAAGTTTACGAATATTTCGAAATAACCAATAACATTAAAGATATTTTAAAATTTACTGTTGGTATTATTTGTATTTGTTGTGGTTTTTGGGTAACCGATTACCTGCCGAGCCTCTGCGCTGGAGCAGATGCCGTGCCGAGCAATCGCTAGCTTGACCGAGGACAAGTGAAAATATTCGATTATGTATAATTAAAACTTTTCGAGTTATTTTTAGTTTTTCTTTTCACATATTGAAAAAAGAAAAAGTAGCTTTTGTATAGAAGAGCAACGAAAGTTTCGAGAAACTAAGAAAATCTTTCGTTAACGGAAATAATAAAATTTTCGAAAAGGTCTTATTAAATTTACTACAAATTTCTCAATTTGTGTTACCTATTTGCCAGTCCCTTAGCAACTTCCACAATTTCTAACTAATTTAAGAAAATCAGTTTCTTAGTGAAAAAGAGGTAAAAATAATATACCCCCATAAATAAAATAATATCAATTTATAAATACACAAAAAAAATGTTTTAACTACAATTTCACCAAAAATCCAAGATATCCAATAATCTTTGGTTATGTCTTAGTCTTTCGCGTGGTCTTTCGTCAAATTTTCGACTTTAATGCGCAAACTCTAGTACAATTCCCATTGGAAAACACAATTTCCAATGCTCGTAAGCAGGGGAATATTTTCCCATACTTCTCATTGGAAAATATTCCACCGCTTATGCCGAGAATACGAAAACTGAATTCCCATGGGAAAATTTTATTTTCCCATGGGAATAAAAGTCGAGAATTGACCCCCTGATGTTTGACAATGCTATCTATTAAAAAATTAGTTTTAACAGGTCCACACTGAACCTGGGACTTGCACTGAGTCGTGGACCCGCACTGAGTCTTGTCCGCTCTGGATTTGTTATAAACCCACAATGGGTTTTAGATAAAACTCACACTCAGTTATGACTGGAATCACATGTAAAATAATGTGAACTGAAAGAAAAAGTAATTAGGTCCAGTTTACTATAATCCTCCATATAAAATTTTGCTAGTTATTTGATGCTATCAAAAAACCAGTTTCTTCTTTTCCTTTATGATTTAACAGGTTCGCACTGAACCTGGGACCCGCACAGGGTCCTAGACTCGCCCTAAGTCTATTTGATCCACTGGATTAATTATAAATCCGCACTGGGTTTTAAATAAAACTCTCACTGAGTTATAGCATTATCTGGAATCACATATAAATGTGATCAGAAAGAAAAAGTATGTCCAATTTACCATCGTCCGTCTCCAATTTCTTTTGTAATCTAAAACAATTCATTTATTTTTAACCTACCTGCATTTTTTTGTTAATAAATAAATACTATCTCTGGTTTCAGAGAATTAAAACTGGACGAACTGCATTTTCTATGCCTAAATATTCTGCTATTTACGTTGGTGATTTTCTTTATTAGAGTCGCTCCCGCTGTTTAAGATGTTTTCCTTTGTTGCTTCTTGAGTGTTTTTACCTTCTTACTTAAACGACACAATTTTGAGTCGTTGTCCGACGTTTCTGTTTATGAATAATAATATTATCCTATATTTGATTAAAATTTAAACATTTTCGATTTGACGTGTGTACACAACTTGGCACCAAAATGTGCCAAAGTGAGCCACGCCCATAGCCCTCAGAAGGTCCAGATACCGCATCGTAAAAACATTTTGACCCCCCATATGATGGGCGCCATGATAAATAAATGTCAATAAATTTTAAGTTGGCACTACTGACAAGACAGAATCGGCGCCAGTTTAGTAATAAGCTCCGAGCCTCGGAGGTAATAAGCGTAAGATCGACGTTCGACGTATATAATCGATTTTATTATCTGTTGTGTTGTTTATTTTGTTCTTCTAGTAAAGGTTTTATTTAAAACATTATTTTTTAGTTTAGTCGCTTAGTGTTTTATTTTAATAAAAAACATTTGTGGTTTGGTGTTAAATTTTTACAGGATTTTCAAAATCTCTTTTTGTTTTGTACGTGAATGTAACAATGCATCTAACGGTAGAAGATACAAGGAAGGAATAACATTTCATGTGTAAGTTTTCACAAATATTTGTGTATTTACAAAATCAAATAATTTGTATGTTTTGTTGTAGCATACCAAAAAATGTTAGGAAAGAATAACTGATAGCCATAGGAAGACCATTGAATCATTTTGTGACTTTAGTATAAGCCCAGAAAATTTGGGGATACTAGCTGAAACGGCAAATGTGTTATTGGCTCCTTGTTAGTGACCTATTGTACAATTTTTCCAACACAAGTTCCATGATCCTTTGAACTTGGCTGCACCGTACTGATGAAGACCAATAGTCAGAAAAACGTGTCGACCGTTACTTCTTTTTTACTTTTTTTTATTCGGAAAATGTCCACTATTACATATTATAGTTTGTATGTTTTATGCTTTATTTTATTATATGTAATAAATGATAGGAAATATACTTTTATAGTAAATAAATTGATTAAAGCAATATGTAAGAATAAGTTTATCTAAGGATTAAATTGTTAAAGCAATTTTTCATATCCATTGTTTATTAATTTGTTTCATTTAATTCTTTCTTATTGAGTAAGTTATTTCATATAAATATGCGATACTTGTAAAATGTAATATTTTCTTTTAAATAGGTATATATTATGTTTGTATAAAATATTGTTCAGTTAATAAAAACAGAAATATTTTGTCTTTTATTCAAAAGAAGTTTTTTTTCAAAATATATTTACCTACCCCAAAAAAAGATTAATAAAACCAGTTAGTCATATACACATTTTCTATATATTTATAGAGGTACTTTTTAAATAACTTTCAATACATTCGAAATCTGTGGTTTTATTAAACAAATAATAATAGGTATTCTCAAAAATATTTAAAAATAAAATTGAGATGGGACTCTTGTATAATTTAGTGACTATTTGCCTATGGTTAGTGCACTGCTGTATGTCCCTGGGTTTTCTACATTAGAACAATACTGCTTCTCCACTCTAGCAGTATTTTTTGCATCTCAGATTATATTTATTAAAAAACCAAGGAATTGTTTTGGGTCTATTGCTGTGCCCTTTTCCAACATTCCCAAAGTTTTTTTTTTACTTTCTGCTGATTGGATCTCCGATAGCGACAACTCCATTTGTTGTTCCACTAGTTTTTTATAAAATTTTTAAAATAACTTCTATATATTTATCTTTTGCAATGACTTTGCTTACCTGCTTCATAATCTCTTCCCTATGCCCCAATTTCTCTAACAGGTGAGATCTTATACTCGCTCTATTAAATCAAATTATCATTATAGTTTATTTGAAAATGCTTGGTAGCACAGTTTTTATGGCAAAGGTCCATATTTTTATATAATTTTGCTATTATTCATTTTCAAATAAACTATAGGAATAGGAGTAATCTATTAGTTTTTCTAAAAATACCTTGTTACCGATGTAAGTATATCTTTCCCTAGTTAAAAAATGTTTATTTTATTTATTTAAAAAGTTTTTATTTTCATAATATAATATAAATAAATGACCGGTTAACAATCACATTCTTTTAAATAGTACATTTGACATTGAAGTAGGTATTTTCTCCATATTGCCAAACAGGAACAGATGGTTTACTTGTAATTTGAATTATATTACATAAATCTCACTGAATTTCTCTATAATTCTCATAGCAATATGTACACAAACCACTTATCCAATAATATATAACCATGTAAAAATAACATTTCAAGAACGAGAAACTTTATAAAACCGGTCCTGTCTGAACAGATCTAGGAAAATCAAATAGGTTTGTCAAAGTTTTGTTCTTAATTTGAAATTAGAAATTGTGCGTCTCACTCACTTATAACTAATAACAAAGTGCAGATTATCGGTGTTCACGTATTACAGAACACACAAACTAAAAATCAGTGTAGCCAAAACATAAATTTACCTAACATGGCGACAAGCTTGAATGGGGTCATTTTTTTGTATTGACAGTATACGCCAAGCGGTATCTAGACTTTTTGAGGGCTATGGCCACGCCCGCAAAATGCGGGAACTACATAGAAAGTGAGGTTATAAGTTTTGGCTTTGGACTATGGTGCACAACTAACTCATAAATGAGTACTACGTTTAGTTATCATCTGAAGAAGTGTATAAATATATAATCAAATATAAAACGATTTTTGAGATGCAAGTTTTTGGCTTTTAATGTTTTAATAAATCTAAAATAAAAAATAAATTTTAGATGAACTCACCTTAATTTACAATTCACAACACAAAATACAAGTCTGTAAAACAGTTATCTTTTACCCCATGCTGTTTTTTTACCAATATAAACTTTGTTTTGACAATGGTGTTTGTTACTTTATCTTTTTTTTTTCCTTTTTAGTTTTGAGACTTTTCGGCGCCTTCGGCGCCTCGGCGCCGTCGTGCATCACACGACTTTGCCCTTATGTACAGCGCGGGCCTGAATATCACAGGAAAAAACGAATGTCAATGCTTATCAATTTCACCTAATATAATTAGACAATTTATCTTCAATAGATTGACAGTAGTTTGTCTTCTAAAGCTCGTCCCGATTTTGTGCTAGTCTAAAAAATTGTTGTAAATTAAAATGTCTATTGAATTTTCATATTACTGTATAAAGAGTGTATAATAATAATCATGATTTATTATAACATTGCTTCGGGTATCGCTTTGTATGTTTCGATACTTAGGATACTTGCTATTCATAGATATATTTTATTTATATCGAAGAAAACACACGATTGTTTTTACATAAAAGTTATATCAGTAAATTGAGTAGTTTAAGCATCAATTATTGTTAGTTTTATAAGAATGAATTTATTGTTTATTTTAGACGGCACAATATGGTTCCTTATCATTGGATTGACAATAGTACATGGGTAAGTAACAAATTTATACTTAACTACTCATTTTTTTAATAAATTTATCATAATTACAGATATCTTTTATAGATAGAATCAAATATTATACTTGATATCCCATTATCGACAGGATATTTCTTTTAATATGCTATATATAGAGATTCGAAAATTGAATTGCAAGTCAAATCAAAGTCGCATGTACAATGCGAGGCACCATAATAGGTAATGCGCAGCTCAGTTGTTTTTATTTGTTTCACGTCTGGTCATATTATACCCATACCCTATCCAATTCATTGTGAAATAAAGGGTTCTAGTTCAGTTTTCCGAATCTGTATATTGTTAAGCCACCCTTTACATCCTAGAAACAATTTTAACTATTTCATTTTTCAAATTGAACATTTTTCTTTTTCTTTTTTGATAAATTTTTTATTCGCATTTTAACGATATTAACTTTAATGCTTTAGACTTTTATGGTTAAAATTGTGAAAAAATAGGATTCAAATTTAATTCACATGATTCTAGAGTGGAATGGTTTAAATCAACTTCTTGTCAAAACATTGTTATTAATTTAAAATAGAATATGTTTTGAGTTTCTAGTTGGTAATAATATTAAACTTCTCAGTTATCTAATAGTTATATCTTTCTTCTTCTGTGTATTATTTAATCCTATTCCTAAATCAATAACACTAATATGAATTGAAGTTTTTTCTATTTTCTTTTTGTAGTTCAAATTGGGTTTGGCAATGTGAAGATGGATATTGCAAAAGAGAGAGTGGACAAACTGAAAGAGACGGATATTCAGCCTTAAAGTTATGTCAACTCGTTTGTTCCAATTATTTGAATATTTGGCCTTATCCAACTGGGGCTGTCAAGTCATCAAAGGAGTTGGTTAACATAAATACTAAGTAAGTTCAAAGGGTGAACGTCCTTGAAAAACTTTTATAATATTTTTTGTTAATTTAAGCGAAAAAAATGTTTAGAATACTTTATTATCCTATTTTAATATCAGATGGTCTCCTGTACTTTAATTTAGGTTCTGGCGGCTCTAGATACATTAAAACACATACTAAAAGCATACTAAATCATACTAAAAGCAAAAGTAATTCAAAAAATATTTATATTGCTGGGAGCGTATGGTTCTCTTGATTAAAACAGCTCTAAAAGTGACTCTAAATACAGTTCATCCCAAGTAAAAGTACACTGCACACTTTTTTAGCTGAAGCTAAATAAACAATCAATTCAAGACGAATTACCCATATTTTTGTATACCCAAGTGAACTAGTACCAATAACTCCTAATCATTTCTTGGTACCTAGATCTGTTAAGGTACCTTTTGGCGAGAATCATGGTGACGTCATCAGTATTTGCTGAAACTTTAGCAAATGCCTACTGGAAAAGATGGATATTATAATATCGTCCAGCTCTCTTAAGTCGTCAGAAGTGGTGTTATAAGTCAAGCAATTTTGTTATATATACGATACGACTCCGAAGCAGAAGCCATCAAATAGGTCCAGCTGGTTATTCATGTAATCTCATCTTGGTGATTGTTAAGATAATATTTTTAGGTTGTCATTATGAAGACTAGAGACTTTATAGTTGTTAGGTAGTTGTTAAAAATATTTATTGATTGCCAATGTGAAGTATAATAAAAAAATAAAACTTCATTAAAAGTGAGAATAGTATTTTTATTAAATATAAAACTACAATTAATATAAAACCAAACCTTTGACAGTGATAATATGTCCAATATAATTATAGAAACAAAGAATATTAACGAGTTCTTGGTTTATACTGGTTCCCTGGAAGAGATGAGTTTGTTTTTTTTTTTTTTAATTTTAAGAAAATCCCAACGAATTAATTGATTGCTCCAAGATTCCAAGTAAACGTGAAAGTCTAAGAATTGTGATGTCCGTCTTTAAACCCCTAGGATTTATTACTCTGCTGATAGAAAAATGGAGGATATTAATGCAGAATTTATGGAGATATAATGTGGAGTAGGATGCAAAAATACCAGACAGTCTCTTTCCAATTAAAATAAATAGTTATCTTCCTAGTCAACACCTATAAATATAGTAGATCTACTTGTTTTTTGGAATGCAAGAGACACGGCTTACTCTGCTGTTGCATATATAAGATTTGTAGATTCTTCAGATATATTCACTTTCAAGTTCAGAGTAGCTCCAATCGCTCAGCAGACCATATCAAAACTGAAACTTTAAGGGACAGTTCTAGCATTCAGATTAGCCAAAATTATTTGTAGTGAACTAGAATATGAAGTCCAGTTAGTTCACTTTTGGATAGATTCCTCAGTTGTATTAAAACAGATTAGATCTGAAAGTAGAAGATTCGTTGTTTGTAGTCTGTAGAGTAGAAGAGATTCAAGAGAAAACTGATGTTAAACAGTGACATTGGGTACCTTTAAATCAGAATGTGCCTGATCTAGCTACCAAAGAAATGTAAGATGTATACTTAGGTACTAGAAGTAAATGGTTTTTAGGTCCAGCATTCTTAAATCTTGGCCCAGTGAACCCAAAAGTAAAATGGAAGATTGTTGCCTGCTTGTTGATGTTAGTCAATATAATCAATTGAACTTCTAGATGTATATAGACTTTTTAAATATCTAAGAATCCTACAAAATACAGCATGAATTGTACATTTTGTAAAGATGATTAAATTAAGAAAGGGGGACAAGAGATCGCGTTTAATTTTAGATGTAGAAACACTAGAAACAGCTAAAATACTTTTAATACAAAAATATCCGGAAAAACTAACAAATTTAAAGAAGAAAAAATAGTCGTTTGTTCAAATTATATCCTATTTTGACTAAAATTAGATTTACTGAATCTGATTTATGTAGAAAGATATTCTATTATATTGAATTATCGACACAGATTTACCTACCCAGACAGCACACCAAATCCTTTGGATATCTACTGAACATCCCAATATCCACTGAATGTCCAGTCCATGGTGGATATCTATTTTATATCCATGAAATGTAATTTATAGACATGCAATGTCCATAAATAATAGTAATTATATAGCAAATTATTAAAAAATTACGCCATTGTGCTCGCCATTGTGGCTAATAGTACCGTTCAGATATTTAAAATTAATTTTTTTAAGGTGTATTCAATATCCCATGGACATCCACTATAAATATAAATATATCAAAGTCTAAGCGCGGACGCAAACCATCGTGGATATCTACTAGATGTAATTTTTGATTTTGCTTCCTAAGTATAGATGGCGATACCACTTTCGTATCTACTCATGCTCAACCCGCCGTAAATGAGTTCAATCGAATTTTTTTTTTCACAAGCAGACTCTATTAGAGACTGGAGTCGAAAATTTCCATTTATTGTTGAAGAGTCCTAAGAAGGATGACCTTCTCCTTAGTGCCCTTATAGTGGGCAAAATCAAAGGCAGATTGTTGGAAATATTTTTTATCTCTATTTTCTTTCGACGTTATTCAATAATCATTGGTTACTTATGAACCTCTACTAAAGATACCTATAAAATAATTTGCTGAATATCTGAATTCTATATCCATATTGGATATCCACAAAATATATTCTGTGGATATCTCTGGGATTTCTTGTATTGTCTGGAAGATACTCATTAGATATTTTGCTGAATATCCATACGATATTTTCTATATTCTGGATATAGACGGACATTTGGATATCCATATTAGATCCACGGAATATTTCTGATATCCTGTGGATATATTGGATATCCTCGAAAGATATTCTGTGGATATCTCTGGGATTTGGTGTGTTGTCTGGGTTGATAGACTATTTCCACAGAGAAGCAAGTCATGTAGGACTAAAAAACCGTTATAAGTACTACACAGCAAACCAACTAGATATTGCATACATCTTCAGCTGTATAGAAGTCTTTTAAAAACTGTTGGGAATGATAAATTCAAAAAGCAAAACCTATTGCTTCAGAAATGGGAGTTCTACCACTAGAAAGGCTAGAACCTTAATTTTTTCATTTAGTTATGTGGGATAGACTTCTTTGATCCTATCATTATAACAATACACAGATTAAATGAAAAGAAGTATGGGGTGCTATTTGCCTGCTTAACAATAAGAGCAGTGTATATAGAATACGATGATTTATTGCTCAGCAGGGACAATCTGTAGAAATTTTCACTGATAATGAGACAAACTTTGTAGGGGCTAATCAAGAACTAGGCAACAAATAGATGAAGGGGTGAATCAGTAGATCTGCCTGGGGTGTATGCATGTTGATTTGGATGTAGTGGTGTTGTTGTAATCACCACATCTCTTATGTACCTTTCGCATAGGCTTTCCAATGTCTTCAAGGAAAACGATGTTAGGCTAATTATTCGGTATGTTCTTGGGACAGTGCAATCCATCCTTCAAAGTTTAGGTATAAAGGCTACCTTTACCTCTCTCCATTTTTGGAGGAAATACATCAGAGTCAACGAGGTGTGAATTCTTCCAGACCCTACTGAACTAGGGCTGGAAAGATACCGTCAGGTCCTGGAGATTTAAATAGAGAGAAGCTAGATATTGCTTATCTAGTTATCGTCTACAATGTGTTTGGTAGTTTGCCAATCGTAAACAGATATGTTGTATTCTTCCTCTTCCTCTGCCCTGTCCTTCCGGACAAGTAAGATCCCATCCACTTTAAAGCAACATCTTTAATACTATAATGATGAAGCTTCTGCAGCAGAAGTCCGTGGCTCACGCAATCAAAGGCGCGCCAATACAGCGAATACGAATTTAGGGGGGGAATTCCCTTTTAAGCATATTTTTTTTTTAATAAAAGGCTCCTAAATCGTTAGTATTTTCATCTCAAGGGGAGGAGGGGAATTGTCTCCATAGCCCCCCTGGAGCCGCCCTGAACTGCGATGTGAATCTCTCTCGAGAGCTTTTTGAAGCCACGCTGCCTGCAGTACTTTCTCTATTTAATCTGTATTGATAAGATTGACGTTTCACAATTGAGTTAATGATAGAAGGATGTACCCTGATAATCAAAAAATTGACGGATCTGAGCATTTATTTGTTTGTTGCAGTTACTGATAATGACTATTTTTCGTTTTCATTTGGCCACCCTGTATTTCTGCACCGCAATCATAGATATATACCGTAATCAATGATTGAGATTGAAAATGATATAATTTGGCCTTGAGGTAAACGTGGTAAACTAACGTCTAGCTAACCATAATGATGAAAGCATAATCTTTAATTAATATTTTACAAACAAACCTTTTTTAACCGCATTGTTTTTAACGGAATTTGTGGTTAAATGTCATGTATGATGCCAATATGTGTTTATTCATAAGCGATTTCCTTTATACATTCAATTTTACGGGAATATTTAAGATTAAAAAACTTAGACAATAATATAATTTTTAAAGCTTAGTTTTTATTTTAAATGAATATATAACTTATATAAAGACAGGGGTTAACTGTAAAAAATTAGAATAAAGGTAAAAGTTCACAGAAGGTACAGTTGGTATTTTCTGTCCCTAAAATACCTGGCGTCCATATTTCTTGTTGCCGTCCTTTGCGTACTCTAGTAGAAAAATTCATCTGGGAATTCGAAGCAGTGAGAACCCACTCCCTTTGAGCTAGTTGCAAGCTTACAGTTCAATTTTCTTTTTGTATTTTTTTTGGCAGTTAAAAATTTAAATATTTCTTTGTTAAATTTCTTCCTCATAAAATTTCTATATATTTTCTTTCCTTTCCCCATTTCTTTTCTTTAATTTTTAATAATTATTCATCTTTCACAAAAAAAAAATAATTTTCTCGCTTTTTTTATTATTTCGTCACACATTTTTGAACAAACGATTTATCCTTCTGTACACATCATTGGGTCAGTAGCAGATCAGCAAAAGCACATTCTCTCAATCCTACATCGCCTGTATAACCAATAAAAGATAAGAAAAATTGATATTAATTTTATGTTAATAATATTTTTTTTGTCTTTTTAGGAGCATAATCTTCCATTACAATGGTCCGACTGAAACCGTAGCATATTTAACAGAAATTACAAAATATTTCGAAGGACATCTCAAGAAGGATGAACCATTTTCTTGTGAAGAAAATCTATACAATCTTAAAATAACATTTACGCCTTTGTGTAAAGAAATCACGTCAAATTTAGAAACGAATGAGTCGTATACATTAACATTGGACTCCATAGGTAAGAGCTGGTATAATATGTGATATAGGTAATTTAGAGTTGAGATAAAAGTTTATAACCGCTATACATGTAGGTAAACGTGAAGTAAAATAATCTGGTGGTGAAGCCTTTGATGTTTTACCATCAAATGTGCTTGTGAGCTGATTTCTGGCCAACAACAGCCACTTTTACGAACTTGCTTATTTTTTATTAATATGACTTTTTGTTTTGATATATACGTCTTGTTCTTCGTCTTCAATTATATATTTTACAACCATAGAACCTTCTATTTATGATGGGCTCTCACATATGTTTCTACAATAGATTTAAACGAAAGTAAGACTGTGGTAACATGAACATGTAACGTTTATACTGTTTGTTTGTTATGCGATTTTGGAACTTATTATCATGCGACAGTTATACAGTGAGCACCATAAGTCTTACCCCCCTATCTAACTCGTTACTGGGGTCTTGTTAGGAAAATCGCCGAGACACGTCGATTTTTGATTTCTACAATGTACATTTTTGTATGAATAGTTTACCCTTAATTTCATCCCTTACTGGAGGGGAGCAACCCTTTCGAAAAATTTAAATGGCATGAAGTGGTGAGTAATAGCTCATTTGAAAGAGGGTTTTATTCTCTATTCAACCATGTAAAAAAAATTGAAATGTGCTTCATTAATTCTCGATTAATTGTTGTTTCAAAATAACGAAAATTAACGTAGCGCACTCATCCTTAGAATTAAAATTCGGCCCTGCCTAATTTCGGTTTTGGTTCAGACGTGAAGTAAGACTTTTTGCCTTTAGAAGGCCACTGTTAGTCTAGTTGCTTTCCTATTATGTGAGGTTCTGTTATTTTTAAACATTAATAAATCAACACGTAATAAAGCAAATTTCAAAATTTTCTGCACGGTTGAATAGAGAATAAAACCCCCTTTCAAATGAGCTATCACTCACCACCCTATGCCATTTAAATTTTTCGAAAGGGTTGCTACCCTCCAGTAAGGGATGAAATTAAGGGTAAACTAATCATGCAAAAATGTACATTGTAGAAATCAAAAATCGACCTGTCTCGGCGATTTTCCTAACAAGACCCCAGTAACGAGTTAGTTAGGGGGGGTAAGACTTATGATGCTCACTGTATATTGTGAACACAATAGACTCTTTTTGGTTATAAATAGATTATATTTGCTTAATAATCATTTTTAGTTTATAAATAGGAGTAAAACATTATTATTGTTATTTGAGGTAGCTTTAGTGTAGGCTTTAGTCCAGAGTTGTCTTAAATATCCATTTAAGTGTATCTTTACTTAATAAAATTTTTAAAAATAAAAGTTCCGTTTTGGAATTTATAACTGTTTTTGTAAACAACGCCTGTCTATCTTAAATACAGTCACCGAACAAAAATTAAACTACTCGTCTAATCTAGTTTTTTCATTAGTTTTTAATTCTTTGCATTGTATTCGCTTGTTTTTGTTTTTCTTTATACAAGTCTTTGACGCTTTATAAATAATATAAATTTTCTATTATAGGTAACGAAGTAAATGTCAACATTATCGCACCTACAGTTTTTGGTGTCAGACATGGTTTGGAAACTCTATCACAAATATTAGTAAGTCATAATGACGATGGATCAAAGTGTTTATCAACTTTAAGTAATGTTCAAATTACTGATCAACCAAAATATCCACATCGAGGACTACTTATTGATACCGCAAGAAATTATTTGAGTGTCGACACGATAAAAAAACAAATTGATGGAATGGCCGCTTCAAAATTGAATGTACTACACTGGCACTTGACTGATTCTCAAAGTTTTCCTTTTGTTTCCGTAAGATTGCCAAACATGACTAAGTGAGTTTACATTAAAGATATTCTCTAGGGTGTTTCGAAATTTATACCTCCTAGATTATTTACCCTATTAATTGAGATACTAAGATGGTTAAAATGGACGGCAATTTACTGTACCATAGTTACATTTAAATTACGAAATCTTTGCAACTGTCGGAGATATAAAATACCAATTCAAACAGATGTCTAAATACAACCATCGGATATAAAAGTTTATCAGTCGATACGAGGTTTTTCAAAAATAAAGGTACTTTACTCTTCCGCAATATTCATATTATTTGAGATACCTCGTATACTATTGTAAAAATTTGATATCTGATGGTTGCATTTTGGGTTTCAGGCCATGCAGAACGTTTTATGAAGTATAACTTTTTTTCTAAAATAATAATAAAAAAGTTTTCCATATAGTTCCAAGTTTAAATGCCATGAAACATAATGTTATGCAGAGAAAACATTTAAATTTGAAGTAACGCAGATTGTCTTAATGTTCTGTATAATAAAAATATTTATAGTGTAGTGAATATACCTAGTAATTTGAATTTCGCGCTATATAATTTAAATATAAGTTAATTTAAAAAGGGTTGGTAATACTGAAACCAATTATCTTGTGATTAGACTTAGAAGTGACTTCCGATTCTGACACCGTGGTATCAACATCGAAATGGTGGTCTCAGAATTGGAAGTGAAGTTTGTATGTTTCCGATAAAATCTTTAATAAAATCAGTCATCGAGAAGTGAATATTGTCTTATGTGTTTAGTATTTGTGCGTCAAAATTTTTTGAATTTGTATGTAAATGATATATAGTGAATATAGCTAGTAAATTAAATTAATAAAATAGAGAACACGTTCTCAAAATTATGGTCCAATTAGTTAGAATATCAGCTCCTGATGTTTTTAAATTAGTATAATCAATGGAAAAGAGTGAACATGGATTTTTTAATGGGAAGATGGAAAATTCAAGACATTCTTTAATGAATATTCCCGTAATATAAGCTTAATTGCCTGCTCTGGCTAAATACCTTAAGGGCGGAGGCCAAAAAACTAACACAAGAAGAAGAACTTAAAAGAAAATATAAACAACATTATTGACCTAACTATACCTCTTATATAAAAAAAAATCATACTATATATTATATCATAGTAAATTCATTACAGTTAAATTATGCTTAGTTGCAATGATGGTGGGTGAGGTTTTCCGGGTTTTCCTCACCTGTAAGTCAAATGGCACCATCAATCATCTTTAAGTCGCCCCGGAGCGCCACGGCAAATAATAATAATAGCCGTCCCTTTCCCCGGACAAGCTCAGCTTTTGGGGTTAAAATTCACTCGTAAGGGGGTGAATTAGGGAGAGTATTATTATTATTATTAATTGCTAGAATAATAACATTGACCTCTAGATTATATTCAGCTAAGTTGCATTTCTTATAAATGCAACACTTTGGTCACCTTACACCTTTTTGCTATATCTTTTGTTTTACCTACCTTATAAATAGAGGTGACACAAATTTAAATCTTTAGTTCATAACAACTCACCTTTTAGTAATAAACTATATTTTTTTTTTAAAAGTTTTAGTTTTATCCAAGATATAACATACCTAACGATTAATATTATTAATAATTATTAAAATTATTTTAAGCTAAATTTAAATCAAAAGACTCACCTTTTAAAGCTGCATATTCCACCTAAAACAATAAACAAAAAAAAATATAGAAAAATGAAATTCAGTAAAATATTAAAGCGGCAGTTTAATACGACCTCATCGGCGATCGGGAGCCGTTACATATCTTATACTCGAACTCGTTATAACAGCGATAAACCAAAAACGTTCTCAAAACTATTTTCCCTAATTTGCACGGAAGCTTCTGCTACTGATTCTCAGGTGACCGCATTTTGTGCACTCGACGGAAATATTGCAGTGATGCCGATCCATATTATAAATCCCGATATGTCCCTTGTTTTTCATAGAAATAGAAATAGTATTAGCACAAAAATATTTTATTAAAATGCATCTTTGTTTTAAAAATAACGGAATTTATAAATGGAAGGGGACTCAGAATTAACTTTAGCACTATATGTCAGGCCAATGTAAAGGGCTGGTGTATTTTTTAATTACGACAAGCGTTAGGTTTTACATGATAATATTAATTACTATATTTTTTTAGATCTCAATAAATATTTAAAAAGGAGTGACTACCGGGCGTATTGATTATACAATGCTTTTTGACATTTACACATTTTCTCAAATATCTCGAATACGGTCCATTTATTTTACATAAATTTATTGTGATTTCTAATTCTTATTAACATTTTAAATTTTAATGATAAGTAATAATAAGGAAAATTCGTGTCTAAAATTTGCAAACTTAAATATAAGGTCATTATTTTCCAAACTTAACGATATTTCACAATTAATTAGTGATACCTTCGACATTGTATGTGTCACAGAAACATGGTTAAGTAATGAAATAAATTCAGATGTAGTTTCTTTAGATGGTTTCAACTTTTTTAGGAAATATAGGTCGGATAGAGTGAGAGGTGGTGTGGCCTGTTATATAAAAGAGTGTAAACTTTTATTTTAATAATATATCCTTTGATTATTTGTTTCTTAAAATTAAGATTAAGACATAATATAATGTGACTTTCATCGTCATATATCGTCAACCTAATACTAGTGTTAACGGGCTTTCAGATTTTTTAAATGATATTATTCCTTAATTGTTATCTGAATATGACTTCTCTATTATTACTGGTGATTTAAACGTAAATATATTGCTCCCTAATTTAATTCTTGATTTATTTGATACATATGGTTATGTAAATGTTGTCAATGAGCCAACAAGGATCGCGGCAACTTCTGCTACCTTAATTGACCCTATTTTTATTAATTGTTAAGGTATTTGTCGTAATTGTAGTACTATTCCAATCCATTTTACTGATCATAATAAAATACCTTTTTGTACCTTCGATATTACAGTAAAAAAAAATAAAGCAAAAACTTTTAACTTTAAGAAATTTCAAAGATCTTGATGTCGAACTTTTTAAAAGAGATTTGTTCTTGTTACCTTGGGATAACATTTTTTTCATTGATAATATTAATGAGAAAGTAAGGTAAAGTTAACAGTAGTGAACATGTTCCCTATAGCGGACATCTTAAAATTCAAAGTGTAAAAATAAAGTAAATCTGTAATATTTAAGAAAACCAATTGATTTGGCAACAGTGTGCACCTTCATAATACCGGTTCCCAACGCCCCTCGCCCTCAGTTGTTTTCGAAGTGACAGTTAGTGAAGTTCTAAAACTGGAAGTGGATGATTTGCAATTTATGTTGTGATTTGTTAAATGTTTACATAAGAGGTGAGTAATCAAAACATGGCATTTCATTTAAAGTTATGAGAGTTACCCATCTTCTGTTATATTTATCTAATGAAAATACTTCTAAAGACCTAATTATGGATAATATTTCTTAATATAACCATTAAAAGAAAAGTTCATAAGGATGTTCACTATTGGAACAATAAAATATATGTGTTCCTATAGTGAACACAGGTGTCCACTTTAGGAATTTGAACTAAAATTGAGTTAAATTGTTACCTACTTTTACTTTTAAAAAAATAACCACTGATATGTTATAAGTTTTATTAGGAACCGAGGCTAGGATCCAGTAGTGTACATAGGGTGTTCACTATTAGATCATATAGGTGTCCACTATTGGGTTAAATTTTTATAAATTTTTTTTTATTTATAACAGTTTATAAGTAAAAATGTATAAAGATTTATTCTTGTTTTATTAATTGTTTAGATTTTTAATAGTTTTCAATTTATTTTAAGGTAAATATGGAGCATAAAAAAATATTAAAATACCCAGAACAAAATATGTTAAGTGCTGTTGAGGCTGTAAATAGGAATGTCCTATAAAGCTGCTGCAAAGACGTATGGTGTTCCCAGAGTGATACTAATGCGCAAGCATAAGGGCACAGTACCCTTAAAAAGAAAAATGGGACCTGAAGGCACCTTCACTTCGGACCAAGAGACAAAACTTGTCGAGTGGGTAAAAGCAATGGCAACTGCTGGATTTCCTCTTACAAGGTATACGTTCTTAGGAAGTGTAGCTAAACTGGCTAAAGAATTAAAAGTTACATTTAAAGGAAATACCTCTCCAGGTAAAAAATGGATAAAGTTATTCCTTCAAAGACATCCTGATATTAGCTTTAGAGTGAGCCAAAATCTAACTGCTGTGAGAAAAGGAGTATCCCAAGAAAATATAAACCTGTGGTTTAAAGAAGTAGAAACCTATCTTAAGGACAAGCAGTTATTCCAAGTTTTGGATGACCCAAGAAGAGTTTTTAATACGGATGAAACCGCATTCTTTTTAAATCCAAAGCTAGGAAAAGTTTTGACTCCTAAAGGTTCTAAGTCTGTGTACACTGCTTCTGGAAATGATGAGAAATTCAACGTTACAACTGTGAATGCTATGGGACAAATAGCCCCACCATTAGTTGTATACCGGTACTTACGTTTTATAAGTAGTTTGTAATTTTATTTTATAAGTATTCTAGAATTCCTCAGCATATTGCCGAAACATTTCCAGCAGACTGGTCAATCGGAAAGTCACTAAATGGTTGGATGACTCAAGAATTATTTTTTGAGTACATTGCCAACATTTTCCTTCCTTGGATCAAGAAAGAAGGAATTAAATTACCAATAGTACTTTTTATGGATGGCCATACTTCCCATATATCTTTTCAACTAAGTAAATTTTGTATGGAAAATAAAATAGAATTAGTTGCCTTGTATCCTAATTCTACCCATGTCCTACAGCCAATGGATGTTGCCGTTTTTCATGTGTTAAAAACTTCTTGGAAACAAAAAGTTCATGAATGGAGGATAGAAAATAATGGAGAACAGTTAAAAAAAACACCATTTTGCCCCAGTTTGTAACAAGTGATGTTGGTTTTACTTACCGTGTTTTAGCTCAATTTAATTAGGGCCGTGAGTAGCACTT